ATAATCCCATTGAGCCAGCAAGTATGGTTGGTGGTTAAGGAAGAATTTTTTTAAGGATTAAGGAGGGTTAGAGAACAGAATTTGAAAGGACAGATTCCTGAAAGGTAAGGATAAGGTAGCTGGAAAGGCTAGGCTAGATAAGTGAGAAAAAGTAAATAGAACAATTAAAGGATTAAGAAAATTGGCAGCTAGGTGGCTCATTAGATACAGTACCAGGCCTGGAGTCAGGAAGACCTGAGTTCAAATATGGCCTCAGGTATTTACCAGCTGTGTGACCCTGGGCAAGTCACTTAACCCTGTAGTCCTCAGTTCCTCATCTATAAAATGAGCTGGAGAAGGAAATGGCAAACCACTCCAGTATCTTTGCCAAGAAAACCCCAAATGGGGTCACAAACAGACTCTTAAACAACCAAACAACAACAACAAAAATAAAATTGATATAAGTAGATTTAGATATGGCTATGTGATACAGTGCCTATGAGATATGGGCCTAGAATCAGGAAGACCTAAGTTAAAATCCAACTTCAGACACTGACTAGCTGTGTGACCATGGGCAAGTCATTTAACCTCTACTTGTCTCAGTTTCCTTCAATGTAAAACAGAGATAATAAGAGCATCTACTTCCCAGAGCTGTCATGAGGATCAAATGAGATAATATTTGTAAAGTGCTTAGCACAGTGCCTGGCACATAGTTGGGGCCATACACAATGCAAGTTGTTGCTGTTGTTATATTGATGTAGTGGACAAAATGGTGAAATAGACAGGTGGCTGATGCAAGGCTGAAGGGGAGGTGAGTGAGGCTGTAACTGTGGAGTTACTAAGACAAAGGAAGGGCAATTTGAGTGTGTGGTCAAGTTATTAAGAGCAATAACTGACAATAAAAGCTTAAACCAGGGTTGGGGACCAAACATTCACAAGTAGTTCAAAGAAACTAAGGATAAACTAAAAGGGATGGAGGTGGGAGAAGACTATGTGTGTGTGTTTGTGAGTGTCATATATACATATATGACATGTATACACATACACATATTACATACACACATAGATACACATATGTATATATGTAATGCCATATATGTGAGGTGTTGTAGAGTAGCCACAAAAAAAACAAGAATAGCAGCTCAAAGGTAGAAATTCACAGAAGATAAAAATCCAAGAAAAGAACCTATAATAAAACCCATGACCTCATATGTTTATACACAAATGACCAAATTTTAGACAACAAACAAGGGAAATCAGAGGTCCTATTATTAATTATATTAACTAAGAAGGCAAATTAGACCTTATAGGTATTGTTGAGATGTGATAGGATAAAATCCACAATTGGACTATAGCTCTGGATGGGTATACCTTGTACAAAAGAAATGGGAAAGGAAAAGGAAAAGGTGTGTGTGTGTGTGTGTGTGTGTGTGTGTGTGTGTGTGTGTGTGGTTAGTAGTGTATATTATGAAGGTATACTCATGTGAGGAAATACAGGAACCTGAGAAGGAAAACATGATGACAAGCATTTGGGTAAAAGTTAAGGGGGAGATAAACAAGTGATCTTGTCACTGAAGTATACTACAGACCACCTGTTCAGAAAGAGGAAATAGATGAGTGTGAGAAACAAACAAGCCTGTCACAGAGGAATAATATGGTAGTAATGGGAGGACTTCAGTTATCCAGAAAAGTGCTGGAGCTTTCTCTCTGCCAAAACCAGAGCAGCTAATAATTTGCCTTAGTAATAATTTTATCCTTCAAAAAGCAAAGGAACAAACAAAAAAAAAAAAGCAAAGGAACCAACAAGGGAAATCCTATTCTGCAACTGATTCTTACTAATGAAAAGGAACTGGCCATTGGGATGGAAATAATGGGAACCTTATGGGGAAGTAACCATGCCATCCTTGAGTTTGTGATAAAGAAAAAATCTCAGCATTGTCCAGCTTGCAGCCTACATTGTTGGAAAGCAGATTTCAAAAGGTTCAGGGGAAAGATAGGGGAATCCCATCAAGAAAAATGTTTCCAAAAGAATGGAATGCACTTAAAGATGAAATTCTGAAGACACAAATGGAATCCATTCCAATGAAGAGAAAAAAAATGGGATTTGTATAAAGAGACCCATGTGGATGCACAGGTAACTCATCAATCAACCAAAGGTTTGAAGTCGAAAGAAGATTGAAGTAAGGTTAGGTAACAAAGAATGAATATAACTGTGGCAAAGTCCTGTAAAAAATAGAATCACTAGGGTACACTAAAGCCCAAGATGAGTTGAGGCTGGCAAGGAAAGCTAAAGCAAATAAAAAAGTTTGGTTTTTCACTTTTTTAGAAGCTATTTTTGTGGACAAAAGATGAAAGAAGGGACAGGGGCTTTGCTTGGGGTGGATGATCACTGCAAGAAAGAAAAGGGAGTGCTACTCAATTTTTATTTTGTTTCTTTTTTCTCTGAAAAGACAATTACACTAGAAACAAGGTTGGAAGGGAAAGGAAAAAACATTTATATAATGCCTACTATGTGCCAGGCACTGTGCTAAACACATTTTAGCTTTATAAAGTGACAGGGCAAAAATGATCATTTTATTATATAACAATTGAAAACATATGAATATAATCAATGTACTACATATAACTATGTGTATATACATGTATATAGTATAATTAATAATTGATTAACAAAGTTGATGTACCAGATAAGTGAGCACATAGATGTCTTTGATGGATTAATTCATTAAAGATGGCAAAGATGAGGTACATCCTTCGGTCTGGAAAGAACTAGCAAATATGACTTTGGAGCCACTGCTGGTGATATCCAGGATTGGGAAGGGACTAAAATGAAAAATGCCTACCCCTGCTCTAGGACTGCACTCCAATCACAGAATCATGGATTTAAAGCCTGAAGGGACCTCAAAGGTTATCCTGTCTAACTCTTTGTACAGATGAAGGAACTGAGGCCAAGAGAGTTACTAGCCTCAAACCCTATGTACCTGGCATATAGTAAGTACTGTATAAATACTAGGTATTATCATTATTTTTAATTATTATTATTAAAACGGTCAGGCATGGACAAAGTAAAACAATATTTATAAAGTTCTTTGCATATATTAGAGCATTATGTAAATGCTAAGTATTGCTATTACTAATAAATAAATGAAGGTCAAAGCTATGCCCCTAAAGCATGCCAACACCTTCCCTGTGTACCCAATGCCTAGCCTCAGACCTCCCCCCTACTCTGAAATTTCCAGCTTTTTTGTTCCCTGACAATTACCCCCTCCATCCAGCACTGTCTCCCAAGGATATATCTTTATGGGACTGTAGGTTCCATGTCTTCTGGATGAAAAGGGAGAAGGGAGTATACATTTAGAACAGAAGAGGATTTGGAGGGAGAGGGGATAACGGAGGAAGGAGGGTCTAATTCTGGCTTCCGCGTCAGGCTATACCAGAAAGAGCATTGGACTGGCAGGGAAGAGCCCTGATTCTCTGTCTTGCTCTATCACTAATTAGCTCTGGAATCCTGGGTGAGCCTCTTTGCTTTTATTTCCTCATATTAGAATCACAGTCTCATACTGGGAAGGGACTTCAGAAACTTCACTGAGTCCAATCCAACCTGGAATTCCTCCTACAACACTCCCAACAAGAATTCAGCTTGAGCACTTTCAGTGATAAGAAACCCACTATCTGCTAGGCAGCCAGTTCCACTTTGGGACCAATCTGATCAGTGTAGTGGCAGAAGCAGCTTGGTGGTGCAACGGTTAGAGCACTAGGCCTCAAGTCAGGAAGACCTGAGTTTGAATCCAGATATTTCAGATATTTCCTAGCTGTGCCACTTGTCCAGACAAGTCATTTAACCTCAGTTTCTTCATCTGTTAATGGAGATAATAATAGCTTCTACCTCTAAGGGTTGTTTTGAGGGTCAAATGAGCTAATAAATATAAAGTGCTTGTACAGTGATTGTTTACGTAGTAAATTACTTACATAGTAATGTAAGCTAATAGTAGTGGTAGTAGTAATAGTAGTAGTAGTAGTAGTAATAGTGGTAGTAGTAGTAGTAATAGTAGTAGTAGTAGTGGTAGTAGTAGTAGTAGTAAGAGTGGTAGTAGTAGTAGTAGTAGTAGTGGTAGTAGTAGTAGTAGTAGTAGCAGCAGCAGTAATTGTAGATATTCCTGGAGTCAGAGAGACCTGAGTTGAAATTTGACCTCAGATACTTAATAATTAACAGTGTTTGTTGTTTAGTCATTTTCAGTTGTGTCTGACTCTTCATGATCCCATTTGGTGCTTTCTTAGCAAACATACTGGAGTGATTTGCCATTTCCTTTTCCAGTTCTTTTTACAGATATATCTGTACAATACAGATACAGTAAGTATCTGAAACCAGATTTGAACTTGAGAAGTTGAGTCTTCCTGACTTCAGGCCTAGCACTCTATCCCCTGCACCAATTAACAGCGTGACCCTATGCAAATCACTCAATCGCTTTCTGCCTCAGTTTCTTCATCTGTAAAATGAGGGCATTGGACTTGATGATTTCTAAAATTCCTTCTACCTCTACATCTATGATCCTTTGTAATACACGTTACAAACCTTAAAGTACTCTACAAATGTTAGCAATCGTAGTAGATTGAAATAGTAGATAGAGTGCTAGAGCTGGAGTCAGGAAGAACGGAGGTCAAATCCAGGCTCAGAGAGTGCTAGTTGTATCATGCTGAGCAAGTCACTCAATCTTTGTTTGCTTCAGTTTCCTCATCTGTGAAATGGGAATAATAATAGCACCTACATCCTGGAGGTATTCTTAGGATCAAATGAGATAATATTTGTAAAGTACTTTGCAAATATTGAAGTGGTATGTAAAAATTATTATTATTACAACCCTTAATATTTGAAGACGTCTACCAGACATCTATCTGAAAGGGGAGGGGAGGTTAAATTACATGCTCTCTAAGGTCCTTTCCAGCCCCAACATTGTACAAGTCCAAGCCTCCCCACACAGTCTTGTCTGCAAAGAACACGCTTCCCTGGGGGTGGTGAAGAACTGAGTTTATTTAAGCAATAAACACTTTGTACAATATGTACTACCCAGATATCGCCCAGCTGACATCACAGACATGGGGCAAACAACGTCACAATAAATTAGAGAGAAGCCAGGACCTTCCCATCCCACAGACATGACAAGGGACAAAACGGAATTTTTCAACATCCAAAGGCATAAATAGAGCAGGAAACTCTTTGGCAACTTTAAGGGAAAGACATCTTCCAAGTGCGACTGGAAAGCCTGACACCAGCCAATGGAATTCCGTGTCGTGGCCAGGGTTCTTGCTTGCCCCTATCCAAAACAGCACCTCCCCATAAACTTCTTCAGTGAAGACAAAAATAAATCATTCTATATTGCCCTGATTAAATATTCTGTGTAGACTTAATACCCTTCCCATCATTTCCTCCCCTCACACCCATCTCTCCCTCCCCACCTAAATTTGGCCTAATCATCACTGGTACATTGACCACATGTCCTGAATTTTTCAGCTTTTTCCCAATTTCAAGAAAAACAAGTAGATTTTTTAATGAGACGTTGCCAAAGGGTTATTCCTTTGCAACCCACGTGTCCTGATTTTTGTTTTTTAGAGAGTGTGGTCACCATACTCCGTAGGCCCCCAATATTCAGCTTTGCTTCCAAGGGTAGAAAATTGTCGTTCGGCCTCACTTAGTAGTAGCCTTAGGTCGGTAGTTCCGGCTGATCCAGGATAGTAAAATATCTAGTTCTCCCAGAGCCTTAATTGCTGCAGCTTTGACCTCCATCTGGAATAATAATTAATAATCATCTGTCATCAAGCTGATATTGTTTAGCACTTTATACTTTCCAAAGCATTTTTCTCTATTCACCTTCTTCATGTACAAAAAAGTGAGGGTTAAACTACTTGGTCTCTAAGGTCCCTTCTGGGCCAGCTAGGTGGCGCCATGGTGCACAGAGCACCTGCTCAGGAGTCAGAAAGACTCATCTTCATGAGTTCAAATCTGGCCTTAGACACTTACTAGCTGTGTGACCCCGAGCAAGCCATTCAACCCTGTTTGCCTCAGTTTTCTCATCTGTAAAATGAACTGGAGAAGGAAATGGCAAGCCATTCCAGTATCTTTGCCAAGAAAACCCCAAATGGGGCCATGAAGAGTCAGACTCAACTGAAATGATCGTATAACAACAAATATATGCATATACACACACATATACACATATGTGTGTATGTATGCATGCCTATATTTTGTTCTGGACATGTAATTTTATTGTCATAATGACGTCCTAATGAGGAGACTGCCCTGGTCTACCACCAGATGGACACACCAGTGGACAGTACTGGGTAAATTCTAGTCTAATGGAATAGCCTGGGGGCACTGAGAAGGTAAATAACTAAAGATGGTGAGTCACATAGTCAATATGTATCAGAGGTGAACTTGAACCTGGGTCAACTCTGATTTTCATTATGCTCTCTCTCCTTGCCTCATATAGATAATTACAACTCTTTACCCACCACCCAAAAAAAAATTGGCAAATGTTCACTTAGTAGAATGAGGGCAGGGGTCAGTTTTTCTTTGTATCCCAGTGATTAGCATACTACTTGTTACACATATGGCACTGGATAGTTGATTGATTGTTGAAATAAGCACATGGCCATTCTGTATAAGCATAATGTAATCTTTTCCCCTTACTACGTTTTTCTTTCTAGGGTGGTTTACTTCTCAAGCCAGTTCTCACACCTGACTCTCTTATATACAGTGTCCCAAAAGTCTTAGTGCAGATTTGCTGAAATCTTTGGGACATGCTTCTTGTACTAAACATGCTGCCACAGTCTCCTTACTTTAGAAGACCTTCAAGTACCCTCTAAATCATTATTATTTAGGAGACATCACTATTTTCATTTGACAGATAGGAACCTGAGGTCCAGAGAAAGGAAATGATTTGTCCTAGATCACACAGCTAGTTAGTTGCAGGGCCAGACCTTGATCCTAAGCTGCTCCTCTAGAAGGATGAGAATTTCTGTTTCAGTCAGGTAGTACAAATATTATTATGCCCATTTTATAGATGTGAAAGCTAAGGCTCAGAGATACAAATGACTTGCCCAAGGTCATTCCTTCATTCAGTAGGTATTATCAAGTGGGACTTTATTCAAGATAGCAGCCATAGCTAAGGAGTGGTAGAGCTGGGGTTCTAATTCCCATCTTCTATCCAGGGCTCTTCCCAATCTCCGACACTTCTTTAAATGCTTGCTGAGACCACCTTTCGTGGTAGGGGCTGGAGAAGTTGGTACCTGAAGCTTCAAAAATCAGGTGGATGTCTGGGTGGGGCCGATGCAAATTCCAAATGAGAATTGCCTTGGCATGGGGGAGGGGCTGAGGGGTTTATGAGGTAGAGGCCCATCTGTGTCCACAATCCTCCAGTCTCCAGCCTAGTTACCTGCTCATAGTTTCCAACAATGATTTGAAACTTCTCGGTGGCTTCTTTTTGACAGTCACAGTTCCTCTGATTCTTCTGCGACAAACAGGGGAAGCAATCCCAAGTGATGAGGATGGTCTGAATCTGAGTTTACCCCCACCACATGCTTAGGTTCCCCTTCCCCAAACCATCTCAACGTTACCCATCCCACAACCCAACACCCATCCCACACCCCAGCATTTTCTCCCACAGTGAAATGCACAAGTCAACAAATGCTAGACTTTCCCAAAGAAGGGTCCAAAGAACCTTGAGGAACTTGAATAAATATCTCATAAGAGCCTACTATGTTACAGGCACTATGCTCACCAATGGAGATAGGGATACAAAAATGAAATTGTCCCTTCCCTAGCACAGTAGGAAGAGCCCTAGAATCAGAGGATCTGGGTTCAAGAATAACTTCCTGTGTGTGACTTGGGACTAGTCACTTAATTCCCCAGGTCTTGGTTGCCTTATCTGTAAAATGAAGTGGTTGGGTAAGATGGCCTCTGAGTTCCCTTCTCACTACAGCTGTACGAATCCACATGTAACCAGAGATTATATGACGTATCCGGATAATGAATACAAAACCACAGAGCCATAGATTTAGAACTAGATGGCACTATAAAGGCCATCTAGTCTAGACCCTTTGTTTTATAGATGGGGAAAGTGAGGCCCACAGTGATGAAGTCACACATTTGAGAAGAGGGAACACCAGCATCTAGGAGGGTAAGCGAAGGCTGCTGATAAGTAGAATCTGAATTTAGTCTTGATAGAAGATAGGTGGTGCAATGGATTGCTGAACCTATATTCTGGAAGACTGAGTTCAAATCCTGCCTCAGACATCTACTGTATGACTCTGGGCAAGTTACATTATCTGTATTTGCCTCAGTTTCCTCATCTGTAAAAATAGGGATAATAATAGCACCTTATTGTTGTTCAGTCGTGTCTGACTCTTTGTGACTCCACTTGGGGTTTTCTTGGTAAAGATACTGGAGTGGTTTGCCATTTCCTTCTCCAGTTCATTTTACAGATGAGGAAACTGAGGCAAACAGCATTAGGTGATTTGCCCAGGGTCATATAGCTAGTGTCTGAGGCTAGATTTGAACTCATAAAGATGAGTCTGCCTTATCCTAAGCCCAGTGCTCTATCCAATGTGCCACCTAGCTGCCTACTTAATAATACCTATCTCCCAGTATTGCTATGAGGGTCTCATAAGATAAAATTTGTAAAGTGCTTTGCAAACCTTAAAGTGCTATATAAGTACTAGCTATTAATATTAATTAATACTAAGTACTATATTAATAATTAACTGATATTAACATTAATACTACTCCTTGACAGTTGTAAAGAATTTCAAAAGTGCTTTCCTATCCATTATCTCATTTGGGTTTTACAATGCCCTGCAAGGTATCAATAGTCCCATCTGACAAATGAGGAAACTGAGGCTCAAAGTAATAAAACGGCTTGCCCTAGTCCACACCATTAGAGAAAAGACCAAGACCAGTGCTCCAGGTGCCCCGATTTCCAGTCCCCTGTTTCTTCTGCCATCCATGTTGAATATATGTAAGAATCTTTGGTTTAGGATACACTACTCAGAAGAATTTGTCCACAACCTAGAAAGGAGCTAGAACAGGAGAGGAAACCCCAAAGAGTCTATAATTCAGGCTACTGCTGTAGCAAAGCTGGATTCCTCAGCCCTCATTCTTTCCCCATTATCTCATCACCATCACCCAAATTTCTTGGTTGTCAATTAACCTCAGGACTTTCAGGCATCTAGGTCTAAGAAAGTCTACACTGGTCATATCCTTCCACCTTTCTGAGGGGGAGAAGGGGCTAAAGAGTTGGGTATAGGCAGAGTAAAAACCAGGAGGACACATAGAGAGGAAACCACTGATAGTGTCCCCAGAAGGCAACAGGGAAATGCCTGGGTAAGACAGAATGGCTTATCTTGGTCCTAAGCTTCTCTTCAGAAGCACTATATTGTAGCAGAGAAAGAAATAATCTTGGGATCAAAGCACTTCGGTTCACATCTCAGCTCTCTGACATGTTTTCTATCTGACATTAAGCAATTTATTTAATCTCTCTATGCCTCAGTTTCATCTTTAAAATGGGAATACTAGTGACCTGTCTAATATACCTCACAGGACCAAATGAAATAATGCATAGGAAACTCTCTCTCCCTGCTCCCTTTCTCCTCCCCTCCTCCTGATGTCCCCTTCCCTCCCCTCCCCTTCCTAGCACAGAGCTCTGTACCTAACTGGGGCTTAACAAATATTTGCCAAATGGTAAACAAGCATGGCCCAGCTTATTCCCCCAACAAACAAAATAGGCTGAACGTGTTTAACTGGTGAGACGGTTACTCACGCACTGCTCCAGGGCATTCCGAATGTGGAGGAAAGAATTGGCAATGGTACTGAGACCCCTCTGGATTCTGGGGTCTGACTCCTCGTGATTCCTGAAGACCTTGTCCACATATAACCCTAGGACGTCTTTGGTCATGCAGCACACATCTGAAGGCTAGACACAGAAATCCTTCTTATTTCCTGGAGAAAGTCACTAGGCCATGGAGTCTGATTCCCTCATGCCCCCAGAGACTGGGACAGCTGAATTGGGATGAGAGGAAGTCTAGGTAATCCAAATCTACTGAGAGATTTCTTTTTAAATAGAATTTCTCAGTAGGTTCACCTCCTCCCCTACCAAGCCAGAGCCAAAGAAAGAGAGGAATAGAACAGGGAGTTTTAGGGGACAGGAGTGGGGTGTAGAATTTTCCTTTGACGCTGTTGTTGTTATTCAGCTGTTTAGTTGTATCCAACTCTTCATGATCTGGTAGGGGTTTTCTTGGGAAAGATAGTGGAGTGGTTTGCCATTTCCTTCTGCAGTGGATTAAGGCAAACAGGTTAAGTGACTTGCCCAGGGTCACACAGCTAATAAATGTCTGAGGCTGGATTTGAACCCAGGTCTTCCTGACTCCAAATTCAGCACTCTATTCATTGAGCCACCTAGCTGCCTCCTGGAAGGGACTCTAGAGGTCATCTGATTCACCTGATGGAGAAATTCCTTCTACAACATCTCTGACAAGCAGTTATCTGTTTTCTGCTTGAATACTTCTAGTGATCAGGGAGCCCATTACCACACAAAGCAGCCCACTCCATTATTAGATAGCTTTAATTGTTTCAAAGTTTCATTCAATCCAGTAGCTGGGTCATAGTACACATCTGTAATCTCTGCTATTGCAGGAGGCTGAGGCTGCTGGATCACTTGAGTTTGGGAGTTCTGAACTTTAATGGGTTAAGCCAATCTGGTTTCTACACGGTGTGGCCCCAATATGGTGAGCCCAAGAGAGTAGGGGCCACCAGGTTGGAGAATGAAGGGCCAGGACAGGTTGAAAGCACAGCAAGTGAAAACTTCTGTGCTGATCAGAAGTGGGATAGGATTATGAGGAGAGGGGAGGACAGAAGAAGGGAGGGAGGGGAGGGGAGGGAAGGGGAATGGAGGGTTGCAAGTAGCCTGAACCTGGCTCTCTGCCCCTTCTACCTATTGCTCCTAGCTCTGCCTTCTAGAGCTAAGTAAAATAAGCTTAATCTCTCCTCCACACCACAGCCCTTCGAAAACAGCTATCATAATTTCTCTGGAGACCTCTCTAGGCTTTTGTTCAGTTGTTTTTCAGTCGTGCCTGACTCTGTGACCCCATTTGGGGTTTTCTTGACAGAGATACTGGAGTGGTTTGCCATTTCCTTCTCCAGCTCATTTTACAGATGAAGAAACTGAGGTAAATGGGGTTAAGTGACTTGCCCAGGGTCACACAGCTAGTATCTGAGGCTGGATTTGAACCCAAGAAATGAGCCTTCCTGACTCCAGGCCAGCCAGAGCTCTATCCACTGCACCACCTCAGGTAGTCAATCAGCAAATATTTGAGTGCTTACCAAGTGTTAGGAGGTACTGGCTAGTTGTGCTGGACACTGATTCCTATGACAGTCTTCATGTCAGTGTTATAAGGCCTTCACTGTATTAGTCACCCCAGTTTGGACAAACTTCAGTTTGTCTTAAAAAATATGACCCCCATCCCTGTCCCCTCAACTGAACACAATCCTGCAGTTGTGGTCTGATCAGTCCAGGACAAAGTAAGGGACTCATCTTCCTCATTCTGGATATTAAAACAACCTAAAACATTTCTTTTTTTTAAAAGCACAGCTTCTCATTTTTGACAATTATTGAGCTCCTCATCATATTCATCTTGTTAGCTATGGCCCTTTGTTTTAACCCACTCAGACCTGTTCAAATCTGTTCTCTCAGTCAACATATTATTCTTCCTAGAGTTGTACCCTGCAAATTGGAGCAGCACGCTTCATTCAAATCGCTGATTAAAAATTCATTTTTTTAAACTAACAAAAAAAGACAGGCCACTAGAGATAAGGAGGTTAGATAATCTGATCATCTGCTAAATTGCACAGTCAAGATTTTGAAGGGAAAAAAATCTTGTATTTTACTTCAACAGACTCCTTATTACTTCACCTCTACATGATCAATCAATCAATAAACATTTATCAAGAGCCTACTATGTGCCAGGCACTGTGCTAAGTGCTGAAGATACAAAAAGAGGCAAAAGACAGTTCCTGCCTCCAAAGAGCTCACAATCTAACACCTCTCCTCCCACCAATTCCTATCACTGCCAGACCAAAACAAACAAACAAACAAATACAACTCTACAATCTACATCACTTTCATTATTCCAAGCTGAATTTATAAGGACTCCCTGATTGCATACAGGGGGAAACTCAAACTCCACCTGGAGCCAACAAGGCTCTCTCAATTTAGTCCTACCCTTCTCTTCCCAACCTTCTTTCCTAATATTCCCTAATACCAACCTTCCACTTCCATCATTTCAGTCTCATTCCTTTTTTAATATCCCCATTCCTCTAAGGTTTGATCCCCCTCTTCCAGGAAATCTTCCCAGATTACTGGCAAGGTCTGACAAGGTTTAAAGGTTTAAAGTAGAAATCAAAAGGCAAAAGGGAGAAGTACTAGCTCCTTTTTCTGACCCCTACCTTTGGAACTTGGGGACATGATCACTCTTTTCAGGCTATTCCTTTCTCCTTGTATCATGAAGAGCTACTACTCCTCAGTTATCACCCTTGCTCCACTGAGCCCAAGTGGGGAGAAAATAATGGATGACAAGGGAAAGACAATATGACCCACATGTTCCCCTCCTCCTCACCAGGTAACCTTGGCTATCTGGTCTCCCCACTTTTTTTTTTTTAGTCTGAAGGGCAGAAGTCAAATCCTAGATGAAATTTAAATTTTGCTTTGGGGAAGTTTATGAAAAGTAATTAAAAATCTCAATCATAAAAATCCTTATTTTTACTCAGAGCTCCCAAGAAGCATAAAAAAATTACATAGCCCTAGTTATTTTAGGCAGAAGAATCAGACCTCTGTCTTCCTCTCTGAACCAAATCCTAACCATGCACCGGTTCCCTCCATTGCAGTCTCTTGTTAGCAATTAAGACTAAACATAGATCACCTAGAAGTTATTATCTGTTGTAGTTTAATATAAAAAATCAAGAATTAGGATCAGCTCTAAGAAACAGAGAAATAAATTACTTAAGCCCCCTTTCTAAGTAGGCCCTGATCATCAGTTCACACTGCTTTTGCTCCTTTGTTTTCGAATCTGCCTCCTTGTATTTTGGCTCAGTGACCTTCCCCTGGAGTCCTGATGCTCATTCTCATGATTGCATATCCAAGAGATTCTATTCCGCCTCACCGGCCTTTAGCTCCCATCATGTATCACTCCATGTCTCAGAGCTCAGGTTACATCTCTGCCTGTACTCCTCCAGAACTTAGAAATAATAATACATAATTCAGTCCTTCATTTTTAAATTATTTTAGGTGTGTTTTGTCTCTTCTAGTAGATTAGATTGTAAATTTCTTGAAGGCAGGAAGTATATCAGTTATTTCTCCTCTGTTTCCCCTACCCCTACCACCACCAATTTATAATTTCCTCTTTAACTCCAACTTGGAGCAAGGGCAGCGTCAGGGCTGGGTGCCCAGAAATGGTTAGAAAGCCCATACGTGTGTAAGGGGAAAAAACTATCACCACCACCACTGGCTAGCTCAGTTATCAAACAGCATGGGGCCATTCAGATACAGTGTGTCTATTGTATCTTCACGTGCTTGTTTGTACTGTCTGGTAACTCAGCCAACCACTGTCAGAAGGCCCAGAAACAGAACACTGAAGGACTCTGGACTAACTTAACATTTTTTTTTAAAAAATGGTTTTAGGTAGGAGCCTGCAGATGCAAAAGATTGCTGCTCTTTGGGAAACACTGGTTTATCAGGAGCCAAGACAGAATCCTGAGGCTGTTTAGCACCTCATTCAACACCTTTTAAGTAACTACAATTTTCAACTAGAAGCCAGCATCTAATCCTCTTATTAGATGCTTCAGCAGTTATGGTCCTCAGCATAATCAAATCTTAAATCACTTTTAATGACTATACTTTAAAAAAAACCCTAAAATCTGTTACAAATTTCTTATCAATTATAAGTAACAAGTTGTAACAATAAAGAAATCACACTACAGACTGCTTAAGCTTTACAAAATATTTTTCCTTACCTATAGGGTAGATATTTACAAATAAGGAGACTGAGGGTCAAGCAAGTGAAATGACTTGCTTAGCATCACATAATTGAGCCACAAGATTTGAACCCCAATCTCCTGACTTTAAAAGAAAAAAAAAGCCAGTGTACTCACCATTGTAACACACTCTCTCTTAAAGTTGTATTTCAATTGCTGCAGACCATCCCAACAATGCTTTGTGTTGGAACAGGCACACTGTGTTAGTTCACATAGACCTTTCCAGCGGGGACTCCTCAAAGCAAAAAGATATCCCTGCCAACCTAGTCCTTCCTCCCATAGCCATCCCCAGCCAGAGGCAACAAAATTAAGATATGGCAGATCAGAATCTAGCTAATCACAGTAGACCCAAATCTGCTTTCTATCATCATTATTTGCCTGGTTCAGGTCAGACAGCCCCAGCCCTGCTACGCTCCACCCCTCCACCAAGCATCCTGCTGCGTGCCTCAGTAAACTGGCTGGGCTGCACTCCGACATTTACTCAAGCAGATCATATTCCAGGCCTCCTGCTGAGCCCAGCAATTTCAGAACTATTTCTGAGGAGGCTGACTGCATCTGGCAGGGACTGGGTCAGAGGGATGAATGTCTCTACCCAACTGTCTATCTTCATTAGCGTGAAAAGAGCCAGAGCTCATGGAGGGAGGAGGCCTCCTAGCATGTTTCCTAGGCTTTAAAACAAACAAACAAACAAATAACAACAACAACAAAAAAAAAAAAACAACACCAACCAAAAACCTCCTTAATTGGAACTCAGAAATCATATGCCTCATTCCTTGGACCAGGGGGAGCTAAAGATCAAGCACTCTGGGTCTTTCAAAGATAGGATTCTTTGACAAAGTAATCCAGAGTCAAGTAAGAACCTTGAGCCAGAGAAAGAGTAGATAAGGCCTTAGGGCAGCACAGGCACGTGGAGCCACCTTCAATATTTGGAAATACTAGCATATTCCATCCTCCACTCAGAACCCTAACTAGACTAGGGCCTTCCCCAAGGCCACTGATATGGGGAAGATGAAGGGTGGGGGTGGAGTGGGGAGGGGGATGGCAGCAGAGGAGGGGGATGGCAGCAGAGGAGGGGGA